TCAAAATAACATGCCTAATAAAGTTTTACTTGTATACATTTATGCAATAACAAATCCGCAAATATAAATCAATCTCAGAAATAATTCACAATCCTACCAGTCACATTGTTTAGATCATTTTTTAGGTTCAAAAATATTATCTAATTTGAAGATGTCCTTAGATATATTAACTTTATGAGACAACACAACAAATAAATATGATGATTCATGCACTTTCTTTTTCAAGTGAAAAACTGTGCTGTATTTCAAGGTTCCAAACAAAAAAATAATATCCACTTTAATTTATTTCTTTTTGTATTTTGCATGCTTCCAAACAAAGAAGAAATCTCCAGAAAAAACAATAAAACTACAGTAACTTATTATTTTGATTTTATATGTTGTATAAAACGACAACGTAGTGATTGACCAAAGTTTCATAACCTACCTGTTTAGATGTTTACGTCCCAAATTATCACCTAATTATGCAAGTAGGATTAATTAACCTAACCCATAAGATTCGATTCTACTAATTAATCTCTTTTAGATAAGTGTTTAATTTTCTAGTGAATGGGACATACAAAATACTCCGTACCATATTATATAATTAATTAATATGATATGCTTAGTACGTAGACATGCAGTAATTATCGGTGAGTTTAGAAGGCATGCTAATTGCATCATTAGAGAACCTTCCTTTTTATCTCTTTTTAGTTTTTACAAATTAAAGTATGTACTTCGAAACTATTTTGTTAGGTCAACATCAAAAAGGAAGCTTAGCTACATAATGATTTAATGTATTATTTGATACCTATGCTAAATTACATGGATTCAATTGATGGGGAGAGGCCGAGGTGAGGTAAAATATCTAAAAATCACAAATTCCAAATGCTTATTATTAAAGATTTTTCAAACTATATATGTTGTCGGATCATCACATACATAAAAATCTAGGCCTTGTCAGGAGGGATAGAACTAATTGATGATAATTATCAATCCGATCGAGCTGAGAGACCAAGTACCAAGCTTGTTCAATTTTATCATTCTTTCTCAAAATTTTCGAAGGATACCTAATTAAAAATCACATGTGGACAAGTTTTGTAACATAAAGCTTAGTCGTTCTTAAATGTACTTGGTTTTACATAACGTGTCGCGTGTGTGATGCATATACACATATGTTCAAGCATGTGTCGTGCTTGTTGGCTTGTTGCTCCATAGGCTGTTCTAATGTTCTATGAACTAGTATAGCCATCAAGGAAGAAAAACAAAAAAAGTGCAAAATATAAAAACAAGTACACAATCAAAAGCACAAATTGAATAAAATTGTAAGCAACTTGCCAGGTATATCTGAAAACTAAAGCTATGAAATCAAATCAAGTAGCCCCTTTATTTTTGGTCCACTTCATATACAGTGAATAAATCCAATTAAATTTGTTTCAACAAATTTAGCTAATTTCCAAGAAAAATACAGAAATTGATATTCACTCGCTTTGTTTATGTTGAAAAAAAAAATCTTGAAATTCCTTTCACACTTAATTTCTTTATATTATTATTTTATTATAAATTAAACGCGGTTATTTTAGATATTTTTCATTAGAGCATCAACGTCAAAAGTACTCTAAAACACCTTCCTAATACTTATTAGAGTGACACGTGTAGCTGCTTTTTGTTTATGGAGATAAGAGCATTATAATCTCATGCTAATCAAGGCAGGTTGCCATTATAGGTGACATTGCTATGATTAATCACTTAATAGTGACACGTATTGTTCATAATTGGAGCTTAATTAGTACTTGTATTTCTTATGAAGTCTTTAGCAATGTAAATACGTAGCATGAACACTACTTTTAGAAGATTTTGTATCTTGTGTCTAATTTTTATGTTTAGGTTTATATACATATCATGTTTTTAATTAAAGCCTCCGACGAAGAGCAATTGCATGTGCGTTGTATACTTCTCGCTATAACTCTATTCAATTTCATATTTATTTTCTCGCTATAACTGTATTTAATTTCATATTTATTTTCATTTTCTATTAGAAATTAGGAATTGATAATAATAATTAAAGAGAAATTTTTACCAATAAGATTATTACGGAAGTAGATTAAACTCTAAAGAGGCTCAACAAATTAATTTTGTTTTATTTAATAATAAAAATAAACAAAAATATATGTTAACGAACTAATAAATAGTGTTCGAATCGCCACTAATGGGTTATGCATATTCCATGTCAAAAGAAAGTTTGACCACATGAAAATACAATGAAATTTCAATATCTTTTAAAGTAACTAGTTGGTCCGATCTTCTTCATTAGCTCATAAAATGATGCAAAGAGGATGGACTACATGCAGATCCTTGAAGTAGTCCAATTCTAAAAGAAAATCTTTCTTTTTTTAATCATATTGTCATATTGACTTATTTACAAATTAATTTTGACTATATATATTCTTATTAATGTATTAAAAGGTACAAATGTTATTATATGGAAATTGGTTAGATTAATTAGTCTCGATGTGTATTTTATAAATCTTGAATAATTAAAATTATTTACATTTTTAATTGATTTTTGATACGAAGTCAATTCGATATACTTATGGGCAAAGTAAGGTGTTGGCAACCAATTGGTTGTTGGTGTAGTGGTGATTGAAACTACACTTGATAGAGAGGATCCGTGTTCGATCCCCCGCAACAACAATTGGGAGGGAATTGGAACCTAACCACCCAGAATTGATCCCCGAATCCGGATTAGCCCAAAGGGTGAAGCGGGTAGAACACCAAAAGTAAGGTGTTGGCAAATGTTAATATGTATTTAGAGACAGGCGTAAACCAGGTCATGCAATCGTGCACATATGTCGTATCAACATGTACAATATGGGTTTGAGAAAAAAGTCGTGGTTTGCCGATTTGTTTTGATCTTCCATAAAATCCATAATTAGGTCAATTCATTTGCAACTCTAGATTGAAGTATTGATAGTAATTAACTAGCCAATTACTTGCTACTAATTAAACATATTAAAGAATAACTGAAAATAGAAATTGTTTTAACAAATTTCGTAGTACCTAATACAATTCATAATAGGAGTAGTTCTTGATATTGATAAAATATACACTGAAACGAATATAACAAACTGATATAGACATCGTAATACTCCTTTCGTAGTGCTAATAAGAATAGAGGGATGTATCTAAAAGTAAAAACAAAAATGAAGATAAAAGCATTATGGTACATTGATATGGTGTTTGCCAACCATTTTGTCATAGTAAATGATTATGATTATGATTATGATTATGATCGATCCTTCTTGAAATGAGGAAGAATTATCACAAAAAAATAATTGGATGAAATCTTTGCGCATCAGAAATCTGTCTAAAATGTTGTTAATATTATTCCTTATTCTCAAATAAATCTTAGGATAATAATTATTAATCAAATCATAAAGTTGGCCAGATTTGATTTTCTCATGACATGTGAAGTATGACCTATGGCATGACGATATATTTTTGCCAATAGATATTGACAGTAGAACTTGCTACTCTCTTTCCATTATTTTCTAGTTTATGCTTTGTACTTTTTTTTAGAATTTATTTTGTCATTTTGACAAAATCTTCAATTTTGTGGGTCCAATTTCACGGGAGAGTCATGTTTTGATGTTCTATATAGTCCGTACTTTCTTAATTAAACTGTGCTATATAGCAACTAGTTTTGACTAGAAATAATCTATGAGTTATTTTTTACCGAACTTTTTCTTAATTAATCCGATATATGTTGAATTTTAAGTACCTACTTTTTATACGAGTGTAATATTTTCTTTAACTAGAGAGCTCCTTACTACTATTAATAAGATAATTGTTGGAATATAAATCGTAAAATAATTTGTTTACAACTTTATATAGATTACAAAGTTTAAAAGTCCACATCCATTGATCACGCTCATCAACTCATGCATGAGCGTAATTAAACACATCTTTATCATTTTCATTATTTAAAAAAAAAAATACACACAAGTAATTCTAAATTTTCTATATGTTTACGATGATGAAAATATGAAATGGACATGTATATTAACAATAATAATATTGCATACTTTGATACTTTCCGATTATGCATGATGTAGGTTTGTTCTATTAATCAAACATATTTAGAAAAAAATCAAGTCTTTATGTCAAGTAAATGAAATTTAATGCATGTTTACTTTGACCAGTATGATGAAGTTTTCAAACCTCACGTGCAATAATGTTTTCTAGAAAATGGTGTATTTTTTAACCAACATGCATGCATCAGAAAGAAAATGGTGCAATTGTATAAATTTAGCATAAAATGAGCATGTACCTTGTTGACTAGCTCCATGCAAGTTGAGAAAAGTAAACGGCTACAATACTTGTAACAAGTTAACAACAATTATTATAGCTTGATAAAACTGAAATTAATTGTTTTATTATTTCTACTTGTTTAATTTCTTATATTGTGATTTTTGAAAGAGCAAGGTACATAATCTACATATTACATAAATACTTCATACTTCCTCTATTCTTTTTTTACTTGACCGACTTTGACTTTTACACTATTCATCACCCCTACTTTGACCGTCTTTTGTAAATAATATATAAAGAAAAAATGTCCATGTTGGATTTTTTTGAATTCATCTCAATAAATAATATCATAATACATAACTTTTACTTCGTATAAATTTTACTTTTAAAAAAATTAAAGTTATTGATCGTTAAAGTTTTGCATTGCTTAATAAAAGAAACAGATCTAGTGAAAAAGAATAGAGGAAGTATTTGATATCGATAGAGGAAGTATTTGATATCGAATACTATATACGTCACTATTTTTTGTGGTTCACTATACACAATTAATATAATATTCTTCCAATTAAGGGACTGTTCAAATTTACCTAATTCCAGTTCAGTTCAATTTAGCTTCAATTAGTCCAGTCCAGTTCAATTCAGCTCCAATCAGTTCAGTTCGATTCAGCTCTTAATTTCCCTCTCACATAAAATATTCATTTTAGCTCAATTCAGTTCAGTTCAACTCCAATCAGTTCAGTTCAGTAAATGTTAACAGGCCCTAAGTATTAGAAATTATAACATGATTTTTCAAAATCCATTTTCATGACTTTTTTTTTTTTTTAAAAAAATACTTTTAATAACGAGATATCAAACAAGCACACTTTTTCTTTCGTTTCTTGTTATGTTTTCCTATTTATTTATACTTTTACATTTTTAATAATTAAATTTGAAGCCAATGGAGTCTAATTGATTTTTTCATAATAAAAAACATTATTGTAAGTTCTCGTTTTATTTGTTTGTAAAATATAAAATATGACAATAATAAAGAAACGAAGGGAGTAATTGTTATCATGCACACAAGTTACATTTATTTTTTTTATTTTTTATTTTTCTTATGGTCACGTCAGTGTTGTAGTTGTACAGCACTGTCTACTATGTAAAATTTTGGTTAACATTACTAAAAAGTTTATTAAACAGAAGAAAACAGAGGACTCGTTATTGGACCACTTGCAAAAGAGTTTGATGATTCTGGACCGTATTTTGGCCCAAAAACTCTAACTAGTAATGTCAAAATCTCACTGATAGAAACACTAAGCACTAGGTCCACCACTTTCCCTGTTCTTATTTGATCTTACTGTACTTGAAAATTTGAAATGTCGCGGTTTTAATTACTACCTTCATTACATATTATGTGCAACTTTTGAATATTATTTATGTGATATAAAATATTTAAAAGTTGCACATAATATGTAATAGAGGTAATATAGTAAAACTCCAACCAGTTTTTCCTTTCCACATTGCATCACAAGTGATGGCGTCTTTGTACGTTCAGACTTAGCCAGGCCATGAGATGTGAGAGACTACAATATTTGCCGAATATCTTTATTAAACACCACCACTCGGTAAGTACGTAGATCAGGAACAAACTCACCCTATCAAGAAATATAATGCACATTCAAAACCATATATCATATCAACAAACTACATTAATGCTATGAACATTTGATATAGCTGGTTATTGGTAGCTAAAGCACTCGGAATTGAGCAAGGAAAGCTGTGCAAAGATCAAGGAATAGAATCCACGGCCCCTGAACCCATCGTTGATCAAGTAGATACTTCTCCTCGGGGGCCTTGTACAGCTGTGAGAGTCACATCGGAAAATGCAGAAAAGAATAAAAAAAAATCAATGCAGAAAAGAGTGTTATGAGTTATGATAGCCTACAACAGAGACACGAAAAGAATAAAAGATCAATGCAGAAAAGAATGTTATGAATTACGATAGCCTACAACAGTAACACGGCGACAATAAATAGTATAAGCCTAATTTGAAGCCCAAATTGCAGAGGTGAGTAGCAATGGGTGCTAGTATGACGATTTTTTACAGCAGCTTTGCAAGATAGTACTATTTTAAACTTATGACAGTTATGAGTGATGAGAAATCAGCAAATTTTAGAGAACCACTATGACCAGAACCATTTATCAAAAATCTAGACATGAAACATACCTGCAACTCAAACTTCACGACATTGGGAGACCTTAACACAGCATCATTTTCAGCTATGCTTGACTCTTCGTCAGAACTATGTACTGGGTTATCAACAATCACTTCATGATGACCAAGAATGCCAGGAATCCGTTTGCACTTCATGCTATAATGCCCAATTTTTTTCCAGCAGACATTAAGCTTTTGCAGTGCTTTCAGAGCTTCAGTCATAATCTCATGAGGATGGGCTTTCGACTGCAACTAATTAGAGCAACAAAATCTTTGTAGGGTCATACCTATGAAAAATATGTATGTTTCACAATGATTAAGAATCACATCAGGCAGAGCTCAAAACACCATTACTGACTTATCCTTACTTCCTTAGGATTCAGGCAAATCATCATAAGAACAAATAATAATTTTACTAAGATACGTAGTGAAATAAAATTAGCCGAAGAATGAAATAGCAAGAGGAACAAAGTTTAGCGACTTCACAACCAGATAATAGCTAGCACTTTACCTGGTGTTAAATTGCTTTTGAAACCTTAAAAATGTCATAATTTCAGCAATAACTTGTAAAGGAAAAAAGTTTCAATTCAAATATAGACAATAAAGAAACAAATCAAACACTTAAACATGCTTGGGAGAAAGAATACACATATCAGCCGAAAAGACCTTGTTAATAGGAAAGTTCAGAGAGAACAAACAGTAAGAAATAGGCGCTACCTTTCTCTTCCATTTCCATATTCTTTATCTTCTGCCAGTTCAATTGCTTGATGGTAACTGTATGCCCAGGCAATTTATGCTCTGCAATTCTCATCTTGCCAGATGACATAAAGCTAGTAGATTTACCAAGTATATAATTAGGCAAAATAACATCCACACCAGTGCCATCTCGTCCTGCCATTTTCCTATAGTGAAAATGAAATATGTAACAAAGAAGCAATGACAGGTTGAAAGCTAGTTTACCACTGGAGATAAGAGGCAAGGTTCAATTCTCAAAGTTCAATTGACGATCATATTAACTAGCAATTGTCCCAAACCGAATCAAATGATCATCTTTTTGTTACAAAAGCATACTAACTAATGAGAAACAGACTGAACTTTCAGTCCATACATGAGGTCTAATACAAGTAAAAGAATGTGAACATATAAATAACCTGAACACAAATCTATATTTATTGTACAACTGCAAAATAATCAAATTTCAAAAACTGAAAAGCTTTTGAACTTTGTTGTAACACGGAGTATTCAATATTCATGATAAAAATACAACCTAATTATGAGTCTTTATGAGTTAGTAGATTCTTGTTACAACAAGGAACTCCCAATTATTCAAATTACATTGACTTCTAGCAATATGATCATCAAAGTACATTTTTAAAATGACCCGAACACATACTACACGATGTAGTATGTGTTCGACTTATTTTTTAGCTCATTTGATCACTCTTTGCCTATTCAAATGAGACTCGGGTACACATACTACACGATGTAGTATGTGTTCGACTTATTTTTTAGCTCATTTGATCACTCTTTGCCTATTCAAATGAGACTCGGGTACACATACTACACGATGTAGTATGTGTTCGACTTATTTTTTAGCTCATTTGATCACTCTTTGCCTATTCAAATGAGACTCGGGTACACATACTACACGATGTAGTATGTGTTCGACTTATTTTTTAGCTCATTTGATCACTCTTTGCCTATTCAAATGAGACTCGGGTACACATACTACATGATGTAGGTTCTTGTAGTGTTAGGTACACATGTGAGTAAGAATTCCATAGCGAAAGACGGAATCAATATTCCGTACAATCTTATTCTAAACCAACTAATTTCAGTATGAGCTTTTTTTTTTTTTTTTTTTTTTTTTTTTTTTTTTATGTTCTTCTTCTTAAGGCCTGTTCTCTTCCGCTTATTTACAGTTCACTTCAGCTCTAATAAGTTCAGATTAGTTCAATTCAGTTCTTATCTTAATTTCCTTCTCTTATAAAATATATAATTCAGTTTAGCTCCAATAAGTTCAATTAGAAGAGGCGCTTACTCCCCTAATCGCCTAATGTACATTTTGCTCTTCGTGACGCAGGTATAATCAAATTCCTAATTCTTGTAACCACAAATATTCCAAAGATTATCATTTTTTTTTTCCAATTCATAAATAAATTTTTACAAAATCAAATCATCCAACTTATCTAATTCCTAAAATACAGAATCAAACAAAAAAATTGATAAATTCAGAATAATGATTTACAGGACTAAAGATTACCTCGGAATTCAAGTTATCGTAATTTCTCCTTCAACTAAACCAGGCCGTCGGGAAATTCGCCGCCTACGACCGCCGTGGAATCCGGCGAGAATCTGGCGGTGGATTAACGAATGCGTAGACATTTTACAAAATGGATTATTGACTAGATATACTTGGTACTTATTAGGTGTTGGTTTATAGAAAAATGGAGTTATCATTGACCTTATAGAGAAATTTGAGTTCACCCGCAAACATAGTGGCGAGTGTGGACTGTTGAAGATCATAAACAGTCACCACAGCGCTGACAACCAACAAAATAATAATTATGTGCTAATCTGAGTTGGGTTGACTTGTGATGGTTCCAGCTCGGTAGACCACTAGACCCTTCTATGTATGGATTACGGAGTAATAAAAAAGAAAAAAATAAAATAAAATAAAAAAAACTATGTATGGATTACGGAGTACTATGTTAATTCCTAGGACCTATACCGTATTTGAGTTTACGTCCTTTAGTATTCAATTGAAAAAAGGTATTGTGTTAATAACTAAGGTCTTGTTCTCTTCTCTTTCAAAAAAAAAAGACTTGTTATTATTTAAAAATTCAAATAAGATTAGACTAGATTAGAACTTTTGATTATCATTTACTTATCATTAAATGCGTATTAAAAAATTTATAAAAATTGCATATTTAAAAAGTTCATGATGAAACAAAACTAACTAGATCCATTTTCATAATGTTTTTCTTTATAGATTAGTATTAAAATGCGGTCAAAGTTTATTTAAATTGTTAAATTAGATCAAACCAGACTAGATCAGAAAAATTCAGATCATACTTTAAAAAATTCAGACCAGATTTACTTGTTTCGGGTGAAGAGAACAAATCCTAAATGCGAATATGTGGGTTAATGTAAGAAAAAAAGTGGAAAAATAAAAAAAAAATTGAATGAGAGTAAGGTGAAAGAAACGTCGTAATTTTAGTTTGGCAATAAAATAACATTAAATTATAAAGAGCTTGTAGAAACGGGTTCTAGGAGAATGCAAAAAAAAAATAAAAAGTATAATGAAAAAATAAAAATGAACGAAGGTAGTAGTACACTCTAGGGCTTGCTTGTTCATCTTTATTTGACAATATCAAACAAAATAAGTTAAGAAAGTTAAAAAAAGATAAAAATGAGTTAAATTAACCAATAAAGAGTAAGTGAATTAGAGGAATATATATGTAATGAACTAATGATACATACATTGATACATGCTTCGTACTAATGTTGGTATAAATAGTGTTTCAAACTAAGTACAAGTAATATATTACAACATCAAAATAATAGCCACATATTGATTTATCCGGTCAATTGGACACTCTAATTATAAGGGGAAGAGATGCTTTACATGCATGGCTCAACATGCCTTGGCCATGTTCAGGGAGGCATCTAAACCAAATGATAAGTGGGGGGCAGTTAGTTGAGTCATGAGCAAGGCGTTAGACGCGTTGGTACTAGTGAACTGGATGGCTCGCTCATTTGCCTAGCATCATACATTATTGGTACATCGGTATGTCATTGGATTCAACATTTGTTGAGTAATTGCAACTTGACATATATAGATTCTTGTCATATGTCTTTCGATGAGTTGGCTTAAATTGTATTGTGTGAGGTTAAACATATATAATCGAAATCTCCGTTAAGAGACATTATGGGTATTAATTAGAGCAACGAACAAAGCCATTTGTGCATGGATTAATATTAATTAGAGCTCAAAGCCATACATAATTACACACCATATATCGGGCAATATGATTCTCATATTAATACTGACATATCGAGTTTCTACGGCATCGTACGCACTTGGCACACTTCTACTACTAGTCTACTTGGCGTGGTGGTTCAACTAATTCACCTGTAGCTTGGACTCATATGTATGTTAGCTTATAGGTTTTTTTTTTTTTTGAGAGAATGTTAGCTTATAGGTCAATGTTATACTGTTGAAATTTAATAATTTATCAATGACCAATAATTCTATAATTATTTGTAAATCTGTAATTGACTTTTTATACCAAGTACAGTAGTGACTTTTTTACACATCTTTCTTTATACATGTGCAAATGTAATGTCCATTTAATCATTTTATACACTAGTATTAATTAATGACATAAATATTTGTTTTTGCCACCTCATTTAATCTATAAAGGTTGATTTATATATATTTATAGAATATTTTTTTTTTTGTTTGATGATACGAAGTATAACTTTTGTTGTTGTTGTTACGTTGTTGATCGAGGTTGGTTGTTGTCTTATTGATAACATTGGTATGATTCTCAATGGATAATCTTTAGTAAGTACAAACTATATGGTCTATTTCTACAGAAGATTAAATATATGATCTCAATAAATTATAATATACTCTATATTGCCTATGCCTATATTGGTTCAATTCATTAACTATAAACACGAGCACTTGGAATAAAATTGTATATGAATATGACCTGTCAATTAAGGTCAACGAGTCGGACTCGGGTTAGATTTCGGGTCATGCTAAAAAATATCTCAAACAGTGTATAAACATAATACAAAATTGCGGAATTGGATCAAGTCAGATGGTCGAGTCTAGATTCTCTCTCAACAACTTATCGGGTTCTGATCGAGTTGAGTTGAGAATCAACAATTCAATCTATGAATATCATTAGTATTGGTTAGTCAAAATTAAACCATTTAAATTGTGAACTACATCATATATTATTGTGAACTCCTTCAAGTGACATCTATTGATCAAATGCCAACACGTAAAAGATACGCTCCACATAATCAACATATAAACTGCTCTCTAGTTCATTGGTCTACTTATTTTCCTCAACCAATATTAGATCATAGTACATGAATAGGATCATACTTCATACACATTATTAGAAACTATCCTATTACCTATATATGTGCACACTTTTAGTAAGCAAGCACATCTACATTTAAAGTTATAAACATATAGTCATGCGCATAACAAACCGCATTGAAATGATGTGAACAAACGGCCATAAAAAGTGACTCAATTATTCCTTTCACGGATCATCTATAACTTCCTCTCTTATACCCTAAGCTTATAAGGGAAAACCGTGGAATTTCAGCCAAGTTTCCCACTAAATTTCCAACCTCTAATTAAGGAAAACAAAACTAAATATAAATGGGATGATATTAAATAGTAAAGTTCCTAATTTAACCCCGCAAGGTTTATCATGATAACTAAGAATGAATCTAACAAATTAATTTTGTTCCATAAGTACTCTTTCTCTGCCCCATTGCTGAACAGAGGTGTAGTCGTTTAGATGCACATGCTTTTAAAATTGTCAATTAAAGTTAATAGTGAAGTATGTAGCATACTAGCAGAATTCGGGGAAACCAAATGTAGTTACGTGAAAGTAATAAACTTTTCATTCCTGAAAATCTTTTAACAGACTGATATGCTTTGACTTTTAATACGGAATACAACTTTGACCATCTTTTTTATTATTATATAAAATAATTTAAAATGTTACTCGTAAGTAAGATGATGTAGAATTTTTTATTTGAATTACTATTGAAATATCAAATTATACTAAAAGTCAAAACATATTAAACTGAGTATTTAAGATCGAAGTGTTTTAAGGCAAAAAGAAACATAAGTTGTATACCTAGCTATATGTCACAATCTTAAAAGTCATGACCGCTCAAAATTTCAAACATATTAGGAGCTATAATAATAATGATAGTGAAATTTTAAAAAAACAAAACCCGTGAGTTGTGAGGTTAATTTAGACAATTTACTCAGCTTTAAAAACTGACCAAAAACAAGGAATAAGTTGGATATTTTTTTCAACCTTATTTTGTTGTTTCTTGTTATAAAAGTAGTAGCTTTAAAGTTCTTCATTTGTATTGAGTCTTATATGCTCTTACTTTGAGGTACTGCCAATAAATTCCTTCAAATAGCAATGCAGCATTGTTCATTCTTGTGAAGAAATTAAGACAAATAGATCAAATTAAAAGAGAGTAATTAAATAAAAATGGAGGGAAAATATTGGGTTTTAATGGGAGTTTTGGCAATGGTGATTGTTGCAAGTAGAGGAAGTGATGAAGAAGGTGGTGAAGTAACGTATGATGGAAGGTCTCTCATTGTTGGTGGGCAGAGGAAGCTACTCTTCTCCGGTTCCATTCATTATCCTCGAAGCACCCCCGAGGTTAGTACGTATTCTCGGTTTTTTTCTATCTTAAAGTACTCGTGTCAGATACTCGACTAGACATTGTTTTACCATAATGTATGTAGGTGTTAATACTATGAAATCATTTATATTCAAGTTTGTATAATAATGTAGGTTATGAATTTAAGAATATTTTGGTATTGACAAAGCTGGTGTCAACTTGGTGTTTATTGGAGTTCCAATGAGAATTTTATTTCATACAAGTTATTGTGTGATTCTGTTTGGTTTTATTTTGAATGAGTTGAATTTTAAATGAAATTGTAATGCTTTGGTATAAGTAAATAATACAGGATTAAACAAATACAATAGATTTATCCGACTACTTGTTTAAGATAAATTAGTTGGTATGAAAAAGAAATGATGCGATAGATGTCATCTTGTGATTTACGTAACACCGCTAATGATCCTCATACTATTAGAGATTTTTTATGTAATTAATATCAGAAAATCCATATTCATGTTGATTGGAAGCTAAGAATATTATCTATCCTTTATTTTACATCACGACATAAATCTTCATGACCTACTTGTATAAGATAGATTTATATTAGTTGGAGTTTGATCGAGATGAAAACAATTGCTTTCTATTCCGAGTACATGTAAGAAACGATATCATCTCGTGTTTTACTTTACTTTAATCCTCTAAAGAATCTCACACTCGCCTCTCGTTTATGAGATGAACTGATTGGAGTTGAACTGAACTGAATATTTTAAGAGAAAAGAAAATTAGAAACTGAAGTGAACTGAACTGAATATTTTAAGAGAAAAGGAAATTAGAAACTGAAGTGAACTGAACTGAATTGGATTGATTGAAGCTGAATTAAACTGAAAATAAGTCGGAGAAAATAGGCCCTAACCGAGTAACTAAGTAACTAATAAGTTGTGACCTATCCTATTACCTAGTGAAGTAGTGATGTATCAAAGGCAACCTCATTGAGGTATGTAGACCATTGGCAATTTGGCATGAATTGGACGGTAGGAAACTACTGAGCAATCAAATATCACACGGTTCATACCTCCCCAAAAAGAGAGATAACATTCTAACTTTCATCATTTAAAAACATGGAAAGGTTCATGATTTTCATCATATCTTTATCAGAATTACTCTTTTTTAAAGGTAACAGTCTTAAACTATTGTTGGATTCAAAAATAAAGCTACTTATGTCAGAACTCAAAATGCTTCAATTAGCTGTCTTTTTGTAAAACTTACAAGTTTCAACTTTGAGCTTGTAATCCTTTACTAGTGAAATGCAGGTTTCGTAATTAAAGTTAAAGAGTGTAAAGGAGTGAATAATAAAGAAATTAACTAGGCCATATTTTTGGTGTTTAGCGAGCCACAAGGGCGGCATATAAGTATATAGCAGTTGCCAGTTGGCCTTTTAATTCTTTACAAGGCTAATGTAAATTAAAATTTCAATTACGGTAATGAAAATTTGAACATGTGTCATAGACTCATAGCGTACACAATCTCAATATTAAACATTAGCCCATATAATACTTCGTATATTGTAAAATAAAGTCTATTTTAAGTGAAGACCTAAATCGCCTAATTTCCCAAGGAAGCTACATTGAAAACAACTGTAATTGTTTTGAGGCAATCTTGCCAATCAATTTTGGACATCTTAAAATGAAATACGGGACAAATTACGGGTCTGTTCTGATTTACTAAATTGAGCTGAACTGATTGGAGGTGAATAGAACTGAATCGAATATTTTATAAGAAAATAAAATTAGAAACTGAAGTGAATTGAAAAAAAGGTGAAGTGAACATACCCTAAAAATAAAGATAAAGAATTAAAGAGTATTCCGCTTGGAAAATATAGTAAGCCAAAACTTTTAATTCTTTGTTTTCGATCTTGAGAAGACAAAATTCAAAAACACGTACACACTTACGTTATACGGAGTATGTTTTGATGTATTATACTCAAAATGTTCAAAAGAATAATTATGAATTTTTTTAGATAAATTTTGATGTATTATACTCAAAATATTCTAATATGACGAAGTAATGACTAATGAGGGTTATTTTGTTAAAAAAAAAATCTCCGTATTTATGGAGTTGTACGAGTGTTGTACCTTGTGCCCGGTGTGGCAATATATGGGTATCAGGGTATGGGTATGGGTATGAGACTATCAGGGTATGACTACCAATAGAGTACCTTTTTGATCTATTCCTCGAAATTTTAGGTAATTTAGTAGAAAGTTCGTAATAAAATATATAGAAAGTGAGATTGATGGAAGAATAAAATACAACGTCGTAGTTGGAAATAAAGAAACAACATACGACTAAAAGAAGTACTCCGTAGAGGGTTAGGGTGAAGAATAATCTATATTTATGTCGTGGGGCAAAGAAACTCGTTTACATAAGGGGTTGATTTCATTTCCCGCGTGGAGAGGGTTAGGGTCATTTCAATTTTCCCCCCTCTCAATTTTGCGTTTTTGCCAATTTCACAACTCCATTAATTTGAACACAAATTTCTTTTCATAGCCTAATATTCAAGGCAATCAATGGAGCATAATCAGATTACAGTCTGCACAAGTATTTTCTTTTCTTTTATTAATTTTAAATTTATTTATTTATTTATTTTTTATTGTGATGCAATAGTATAATTTATCATGGTTATGCATTTCTCTAGAATAACATTTTATGTGTTGCATCTCTTACTCAACAGTATAATTCAGTTTTGATCTATACATTGATACCCGTGATCAGTTATAAACTAGTTATTGGTTCTGGCGATGCTCTAAATTTGTTTGAATTGTTTCGGGTACCAAAGCCTTATTCTACGTGCAATTACTACATGGATTCGAGTTCTTATCATACCAATTTGACAATCATGATTGACAAGAATAATAGACAAATCAAAGTGTCACTACACTCACTAGTGATAATCATGGATGAATTGAATTGACAAATTGAAGTGTAATTAGTGGTGGAGGATATGAAGGTCACTAGTGCAATTAGAACAAAATGGATGAGAATCATACACAACTTATTCTAATCGATCGAGTTAGTATAAGTATGGTAACACAAGTTAAGAAAATGGATTCTCTATGTATGTGTATCTAATTTATGTAGGAGAGGAGTTTAGGATCCATAATCATACTATGGCAAAACCGCAAAAGTAATGATTGAAGAAATAGATGCAAATGCATATGCATTACCTTGAACATTTGAGATATTAAGGTGTTTCCTACTCTGTAGTCTTACTATATGATGACTTAACAATCTAAAAACATATGAATATCTTGTTGTTGTTAGTTCTCATTGATTAGTCATGTATTTGTCTATAATCTTATAAGGGTAGTAAATGATGAAGCTACACCTAGTGAGTAGTGACTTACTGACTTGTGTTAATATAATCTTTTGAATGATATTCAGATGTGGCCATCGTTAATAGCCAAGGCCAAAGACGGTGGACTGGATGTAATTCAAACTTATGTGTTCTGGAGCGTCCATGAACCCCAACCAGGTCAGGTATGTGTGTTCTTTTATCCCGTCTTCATGGTAAAATATGCTGATTTGATTGTATTCTCCCTTTCTTCTGTCCTTATATAGTCGTATTGATGTTATATTATCTTGTTTTATGTAGTATGATTTCACTGGAAGGTATGATTTAGTAAAGTTCATCAAGGAGGTTCAAGCACAAGGGTTGTATGTTTGCCTCAGGATTGGCCCATACATCGAAAGTGAATGGAGTTATGGGTCTGTATTCACACATTTGCATAATTTGTTTGTTTTGATGTTTTTTTACCCACTAGGCTATCCTGCCTTTGGTAATGAGATATTATATGTTTTCTGAATGATGCTTATGCAACTTTAAATGGTCTAATGGATGCGCTATTGTGATGTTGCAGGGGTTTTCCGTTTTGGCTGCATGACATCCCTGGCATTACATATAGAACAGACAACAGACCGTTCAAAGTACTTAATTGTGCTGTTTCTTGTTATCTGTCTGATATCATTACTCTGATGTGTGTTATTGTCTTGGAGTTTTGCTAAAAGTATTTTTCTTTTTGTAGTTCTATATGCAAAATTTTACAACAAAAATAGTAAGCCTCATGAAATCAGAGGGGTTATATGCTTCACAAGGAGGCCCTATAATATTGTCACAGGTACGATGAGTTACTAGCATTTCTGATGATGACTTTTCTTGAAGTAAACCTGTAACTTTACAAACTATGAATCTTCAAATAGATTGAAAATGAATATCAAAACGTTGAAGCAGCTTTTGGAAAAAAAGGGCATTCTTATGTACGATGGGCTGCTGGTATGGCTGTTGGGCTTCAGTCCGGTGTTCCTTGGGTGATGTGTAAGCAAAGTGATGCTCCTGATCCTGTGGTTAGTCCCTTCAATTCCAATCTTTCTTGTCATTTCTATTTATAATGAATAGAGGAATTTCATTTTCTTATTCTGTAATTTGTTTGATCTCTTTAGTTACGATTTATACTCAACAGATTAATACGTGCAATGGGATGAAATGCGGGGAAACCTTTGCTGGGCCTAACTCCCCAAACAAACCATCAATGTGGACAGAAAACTGGACATCTTTGTATGTATGATTTAACTTAAGCAATTAGCTGTTTTGGTGCTTAGCTTCCTTTTGGTATCAAAGTAGTTGTTGTGATGAGAATTTTTTATTTTGTAAACCGCATGGTTCCATACAGTACCTGTCACTGAAACTCTGCTTTGGAGCCCAACACACATCGAGGCATCTTTAGACACTTGAATCAGTAACCAAGTTCAATTTACAACTAATATAAGTTCAGATTTGGGCAAATATATTCTACATCAAACAAGGCAAATAAGCTCAGATAGGAAAATGAAAAAATATGAAGCACATATGTCACACTAAGTAAAATAACAGAAGTTTGAAGAGAAGTATTGAGATTTATGTGTATCAGAAATCTACTTCTCTGGTAACCTTATAATTGTTCGATACAGCTTCCAAGTCTTTGGTGGGAAGCCATACATAAGGTCTGCGGAAGAGATTGCATTTCACGTCTCACTTTTTCTTGCAAAAAATAATGGATGTTATGTGAATTACTATATGGTATGTAGTTACTTAAGCTGTCACATTTCATACACCCTATTTCTTAATACTTCGAACATGTTCCATTATATAATTAGTTATCTTAGATTTACTTCTGGTTTCTGACATGTATATAGTACCATGGAGGAACAAATTTTGGAAGAACAGGCACTTCTTATGTTACCACCAGTTACTATGATGAAGCACCGCTTGATGAATATGGTGTGTACTGCCAGGTTTGGTTCACATATGCATGTGTATAAAACTTACATTACATGATTTAATTTCTTTTCTCAATCAATATATAGGTCTTATAAGGCAACCTAAATGGGGCCACCTTCGGGAGCTTCATATGGTGATAAAAGCTTGCTCAAAAACCTTGCTTGAGGGAAAGAAGTCCTATCTTTCCTTGGGACAACTACAGGCGGTATTTGACTGTTTTTCATTTGATTCAGTTGTCAGAGAAAATGATTATTTGTATATACATCTCATTGATGATCATGATTTTAATAACCAGGCATATGTTTTCGAAGAAGAGACTGGGGGTTGTGCTGCCTTTTTAATTAACAATGACTCAAGAAATAGTGCAAATGTTGTGTTTCGGAACAGATCATATCAACTTCCTCCGAAGTCAATTAGCATCCTTCCAGATTGTGTGAATATAACTTTCAACACATCAACGGTAATCATAGCTCTTGATTTTAGATCTTAGCTTGCTATCACAGGAAAGCTGAGCTATAATTTGTTTATGCTCTATGTATCTCTCACCACAGATAACAACAGAAAGTGGAAAGAGAAATGCTAGATCAGAACTAGCTATCAGCTCAGCTACTAAATGGGAGTTATTAAGTGAGATGATACCGAACTTCTCAGACACTTCTTTGAAGGCAGGTGCTTTACTAGAACAAATGAATGTAACAAAAGATGAATCTGATTATCTCTGGTACACTCTAAGGTAAATTGATTTGATGTCCATGATTTGCTCTTTTCACCTTTGAGAGAAGTTTTAGCAAATATAAGTTATGATCAGAGTTACCAAATTCATTTTTCAACTAAATAAATTTTAGAATAAGGCTGTATATTATTATAAGCTTAGATGAGGAGAATTTAGGTGAAAATAACGAATCTTGAGTTTATGCATTTAACCTTCTAATTTTTTGGGGTTGCTTTTGCAGTTTTGAAGTTAATCCTTCTTGTAGTGAACCAGTACTTCATATTCGGTCTTTTGCACATGTTGCTTATGCTTTTGTGAATGACGCATATGCTGGTATGTCATTAGCATTGACTTATTCGTTTCTAAAAATATTGTTATGCAATGCATTGACATACTTACTGGTTTCTTTCTCTTACCTATTACAAAAACAGGAGGTGCCCATGGAAATCGCAGTGTCAAGAATTTCTCACTTGAAACCCCTATTAAGTTGGATAGTGGAACGAACAATATTTCTGTGCTAAGTGTGATGGTGGGATTACCGGTATAAATATTTGTTATGAGTTTCATTTTACACCATTGGCTTGCATTAATTACATTGTGATCATATATTAGTTTGTTCTACTTTGTATGTAAGGATTCTGGAGCATATCTTGAAAGAAAGTTTTCTGGACTGCGTGAAGTGGCTGTAAGATGCAACGGAGATGATTCCTATGATTTAGCAGTGAATTATACATGGGGATACAAGGTTTGTTTCATCTTGGCTTTGTAGTTGGCCTTTGCTAGCTGTCAAGATATCTATTTTAAGTTTCCAATACATTAAACTTACAATGACAACATTGTCCTTAGGTTGGATTATTGGGAGAAGATTCACAAATTTATAAAGAAGAGAACCTTGGAAAAGTGGTTTGGGGTGGACTTGAACCTTCCACTGCAAAGCCTCTCACTTGGTATAAGGTAAAAATTTGTAGCTTATTCAAGCTTACAGTAATTTAAGTCCCTTGTCTTAATTTGACTGGTTTTATAGAGTTTATATTATGATGCATACTGAACACAATTTTATGGTTTGAAATTTGGTAGACCATGTTTGATGCACCAGATGGAGAAGATCCAGTGGCCTTAGACTTAAGCAGTATGGGGAAAGGCGAAGCCTGGATCAATGGACAAAGTATTGGTCGTTATTGGGCGTCCTTGCTGACCCCTGACAGAAAACCTTCTCAAACAATGTAAGTTGCCAAGTCTACAAGCCATATGTCCATTTTTCCTTTATGAATATCCTTGATGAAAACTGATAGAAAGCCTGAGAACAAGTTTATTTCCAAGCTTAAATAAAGTTATTTCAGACAGAAAATGAACTTCTCTGACAAATGCTTCTCATCAATAATTTAGCATAAATACAGACGCACCTCAGTTAATATGCTGTATACAATGATAAGATAATCAGATTGCGGTGTAAAACATTCTGCTAGTTGTACTAGAGTCTCATTTTCATTTTGGTATTAGTCAACTGAAGATATGCTTGATTCTATCCTAGGTACCACATTCCCCGATCCTTTCTGAAATCGTCAGAAAATCTTCTGGTTCTGTTTGAGGAAGTTGGTGGAAATCCTCTCAAAGTTTCTATGAACACCATATCCTGGACTACTAGCAAGCGCGACAGCAATGTTAATAATGTTAAACGTGACATTAAATACCTGATGAGACCAGAAGGGATTCATACATGATACATGATTCTTTATTTATTCTTTTCTTTATTTTACAGGAAAAAAAATTCATGATTAATTATGCATACATCATAGTTACAAGTGATTGATAGCTTACTATATCGCTATGTATAAAATTGAACTACTCAGAATGTAAACACTGTGCTTCTGATGATTAATAAGAGTCATAATTTACGTAGTACATCAACTTCTGTATTTTCTAATCTGATTTAACAACTTTTTTTTTTTTTTTTTAAACTGCTTTGATTTGATCTACTCTGAAATAAAGGCATCACGATGTCCCTCAACTTTTATATATTAACAATACTGCTTCTGGTACTCCTAAAATTTGTAATCTCATATCCGAACATCTTTTACGTCAAGAACATCGGAAACTGTGCTCTCACATAGTCAAGAACTGAAGTTAAATATTCGTAGAGTTTCAGACTTTCAGTGTGCAGTGTCACTCTTGTCAGACCAGATCTAGGCTGCATTTAAGTATACACATGCTGAAACCCGGCCCACAATAGTTGTCCTTGTTGGACTGTGATCAGCCCAATCCACCCATATGCATAGATCCAAGAGAGGGCCCACTTTCTGGTGACCAGATTTTGCTCCTTGAATTGAGTAATCACCGCCCAACATAAGACATGAGATTTGTCTTTCAGTTTTATGTGCATGGGACCTTGAAATTTAATATATTTAACCCAAAATTATGATATTTTTGATGGAAAATAAATGGAAGATATTGGTCTGACATTGTATATTTTACTTGTACTGTTCTGCATAATAATTCAGATAATCTATGTTATTAATTTGATAACTTTAAGGAGGGATTAAGAATGAGATTCTGTTACAAATTTAATGTTTGTTTTTATTTGATTATTTGTCACGATTTTTGCTAATAATGTCACCTGTTTAAGCTACAATCAATCAGTCTAATAAGTATCAAACTGTAGACAATAGTTGTAACTCTGTAATTGCTGGATTTCAAGCAGCTTCTATTTTAGAATTAGGATCTCAAGCAATTTCTGTTTCACTTTTAGCATTTGGATCCAACCACATGTACCAGAAAGACAAGCCAGTTCAGGCACGGCACGACTTGATGTGGTTTTAGAATTTTAATTGCGGTTGATATGTTATATGTTGGACCACGAGCTATACTTGGACCAAATTTTTGGGTAATGGAGGGTGTTTCAACAAAGTGAGAAATTTACTTACTACGTATGTTAGTAATCCCTCTAAATAGAAGACACCAAGGGGTGGGACTTTTCAAACCGAACCGTGAAACCGCCCGTTACCGAACTGAACCATCACGGACCGATCCGTTTATAAACCGATAAATTTAAACTGAAAACCGAATTGAACCGTTCAATATCAAACCGAAACCGAATCGAACCGCTCAATGTCAACCCGTTACGGACCGTAAACCGATAACAAACCAAACTGCTCAAATCCGAACCGAAACGAAACCGAACCGAATGGTTTATAAACCCGTTAATGACCCGAACCATTTATAAACCGAAACCGTTTAAACCGTAAAAAAAACCGTTTAAACCGAACCATTTGTAACCCGCTAACCGTTTATACCGACCCGTTTATGAACCGAAACCGTTTAAATCGCAGGAAAAACTGTATAAACCGAACGGTTATAATCTGCTAACCGTCTAAACTGAACTGCTATAACCCGTTAAACCGTTAAAATCGAACTGTTTTCGAATCGCAACCTGTTTAAACTGATCCGATTACAAGCTGCTTAATTCAAATTGAATTATTTACAACCTAAATGGCTAAATACAATTAATGTTAATAAATGTAGATCTAATCAAACGGCTTAGGTTTATACAAAGGTTTATATCACCTAGACCTAGTCCAATGGCATTATTAATGTCGTTTTAGATTACTTATTTATTTTAATTAATATCAAATGTAACATACTAGTATTATTAATTTATTATATATTTATATATATACTTTAATTTAACAAAGGTAACAATAAATATAAATTTTAAAATATATACAATAAACATTACTAAATGTAGATCTAATTAAACGACTTAGGTTTATACAACGGTTTATATCACCTAATCCAACGACATTATTAATGTGAATATTGTCGTTTTAGATTACTTATAATTTTAATTAATATCAAATGTGAAATGTAACATACTAGTATTATAATATATATTATATATACTTTAATTTAACAAAGGTAACAATAAATATAAATTAAAATTAAATAACTTTAATTATTCCAAAAAAATACATTTCATCTACATTTTACATTAAAAATAAATAAGTTAAGGATTTACATTTTACATATGATCATAAATTATCCTAATAACAAAATTTAACCTAAAAAAACATTCCTAAAAACAAAAGGCAGCAGAATCTTGAAGCAGCAGCACAGCACAGAGGAAATAGCAGCAACAAGCAGGAACCAGCTCACGCAATAACAGATCAGCAACTTATCAAAAACAAGGAACAATATAAGCAGAAGGGACTTAGCAGGAACTAATTTTTGTTTTTCAAAATTGCTCTCAGATTTACGTTTATCGTATCATCACTGAGCAATGGCTGTTTTAACTTAAAACTTGAAAAATGCTGCCAGCAAGTACGTATACATTGAAGTCTCAACATAAATGACAAGGGCAACGGTGATTCAAGAAAAATTAAAACAGCAAGCATAAGAAACAACAGCAACAAAACTTATCATAAATTCATAACACAAAAGGCAGCAACAATACTGAAGCAGCAACACAGCACCTCAAGCTGGTAGGAGGCAGGAACCAGCTCAGGCAGGCAACAATATAGGCAAAAACAACTCAGTAGGGACAACAACCAAAAGGCAAAAGCACTACCAGCAGCTCAAAACAAGTTCAAGCAACTTCAAAACTAATTTTTGTTTTTTAAAATTGCTCTCAGATTTACATCACTGAGCAATGGTTGTTTTAACAAAAAACTTGAGAAATGCTGCCAGCAAGTACGAATGTACGATTGGTATCATACTATCATTGCCTCATTGAATCATTGGTATGTAAGTAATTAAGTATGAAACTATGTAACTATGTACGTATAATCGATAAACATATATGTTAAAACTTAAAAGTTTAAAACATTTGTTGATCGATCTAATTGAGTACTTGTACTTCCTTAATTATCGACTTATTGTATTCTAAGTATCAACTCATTAACTCATGGTCATGACGCGATCTTTAAAACAATCATGATTCATGACTTCATGACCCAAACCGCTTATAAATCGAACCGACATGATCTGAACCGTTTATAAACCGAACCGACATTGGACTGGGTAAACCCGCCCCTAAACCGGCCCATTTCAAACCGAACCGATATGATTCGTACCGTTTATAAACCGAACCAACAGTGACCCGGGTAAACCCGCCCCTAAACCGACTCGTTTCAAACCAAACCGGCATGATCCAAACTGTTTGTAAACCAAACCGACATCAACCTGGGTAAACCCGCCCCCTAAACCGACCCGTTTCAAACTGAACCGGCATGATCCGAATTGTTTATAAACCGTCCCGCTTATGACCCAAACCGAATTTAAACCGTAAAGAAAAAAACCGATACCGAACCGACCCGTTAGCTAAATCAAACCGTTTCAACCCGAACCGCTCCAAATCGAAACCGACTCACATAGAGGTCAAACCGAACCGCCAAACCGAAGTCCCACCCGGCATGACACAACATGATTCGACCAACCCCTTACCATGCCCAGGTGGCTAGGCGATAGTTTAATTAAAAAAAAATTCAAGTATACACTTTATTATTTAAGTAATGATTAGTACGGACTAGATTGTAAAACCCAATTACTCACTCGCATGTGTTTTCTGTTGAGTGATCAACTGATTATAGTACTGATCAGTAATTAATTGTATCTTATGTCTGAAATCTGCATTTTTGGGTCGTAATCTATTCAAAGTTTCTGTCTTTATTTCAAGATAAGTAAAGCTTGCTCTCTTTCTCTCTCTTACACATACCCCTATAAATTGCAAAAGACAGCAATCAATTGGTCAAGCAGTTGAATGCCCATCTACCCCAAAACAAATTCATCACAAATTTAGTATACTCCAGCTGTTAAAAAATCTTGATTTTTTTTTGAGCTAAAAATATTTGTAAGAAAAACCCCAAATTCTTTTTAAAAGCTTGATTCTTTTCATTTGATTTACACTAAAAAATGGAGTTCTAAGCTGAATTTTTGCACTTTCTGTAGAAATTTCTTACAAAGGAAAAATGGGGTTTAGTTTAATTTCAATACATTGCTTGGTTTTGGCATTGTTTCTGCAATTAACAGTTGGATATGGTAGTAATGTTTCATATGATAGTCGTTCTTTCATAATTGATGGACAAAGGAAGCTTCTTATTTCTACTGCTATTCACTACCCTCGTAGTGTCCCTGCTGTTAGTATTTTTCTCTCTATTATCTCTTACTCATTTTATATTATACCTAGTGGTGACTATTGGACCGTCTTATACAAGAATTTGCGTTTCGTATAATCGTGTTTATGTTATACTGTTTTTGTTTGTGTATGTGGTTGCTTGCTTAGTAACAAAATCAGGGAATTATCATTTAATACTTGTAAATTTTGGGGGGGTTTATGCCCAAGTGGGAATTTAAAATTATGGTTATACTGCTACATGGTATTTGTTACAATGTTGTATATTACACTGACATTCTCAAATTCTTTCAACGGATTATCTTGGAATGTCCAATTATCTATATCGGATAGTTTTTTATGACGGTTCGTGTTAGCTGACCTCAAATTATTTTGGAACTAAGGCTTTGTTGTTGTCGTTGTTGTTATAGTGCTACTTGATACTTGTTAAATTTTTGTATACTATACTAACAGTTTAATACTTCATGTTGATTTAGTGTCATGATCTGGAGACTGGACTGTAATATAATGTTCATGTTAAAGCTTTGCTGTGATTTGTAATGTGAAACCTTGTTTTGTTGTTGATTTGAGTAAAATTTTGGAAAAATGTAGATGTGGCCGGGTTTAATTCAGCTGGCAAAGGAAGGTGGTGCCAATGTCATTGAATCATATGTATTTTGGAACGGCCACGAATTGTCTCCTGACAATGTGAGTTAGAAAATTGTGAAAATTCATGTTAATTATTTCCTTTTCTGTAATACTTTTTGCTAATCTGCCAACTTGTGCTGTTGATTATGGTTGGTGATCTTATAGTACTATTTTGAGGGGCGGTATGATCTAGTTAAGTTTGTGAAGACGGTGCAGCAGGCTGGGATGTATATGATGCTTCGTATTGGACCCTTTGTTGCAGCAGAGTGGAATTTTGGGTATGGTTGTTTTCAGGAATCTTTATTCAATATAGCTGGGAAATTAGGATGATATTGCTCACAATCTTTGAATGTTTATATGATTATGTGAAAAAAACTCAATGTGTTTCATTGCAGAGGGGTTCCTGTTTGGCTGCACTATGTACCTGGAACTGTATTTAGGACTGACAATGAGCAATGGAAGGTACTGAATTATCTCTTCCTTCAGGCTTGCCAACCTTATATGCTATAAATTTAGATTTATAATGGAAGAAACTTATTCAATTGCCAAAATGTTTAGCATGAATCTTTAACTTTTCTGTGTTGGTGGTTGTCCTATGCAGTATTACATGAAGAAGTTCACGACATACATAGTGGACCTGATGAAGAAGGAGAAGCTTTTTGCATCACAAGGAGGTCCGATCATCATGGCTCAGGTACATTCAAATTAAATATTGTTTAAGCAAGTCCTGAAATGGATGTTGCACTGCATAGCAAAATGAGGAAGTGTTAGAAGTAGCAAGTAAAGCAGAACTTAGTTCAAAAGCTATATTTTTCTGTTCTTACAAAGCATTTGTATATTTGAGAAGTTAAGTGATATAGGATTATAGAGCACTTCTGGTAGTGAGTTGGTTCTGTTCTACAAAAATTCTTTTATGTATAGTGCTGTCTTACATTTGAGCACTTTTTGCTTTTGTTTTACAAGTTCCTTGTGGCTCTATTGGTTTTGTTTTCCTTCTGGTAATGTCATTCATACAACTACGGTATTTTTCTTTATTCTTGTAGGTAGAAAATGAATATGGTTATTATGAACAGTCATATGGAGATGGTGGGAAGAAATATGCCTTGTGGGCTGCCAATATGGCCCTTTCTCAGAACATAGGTGTGCCTTGGATAATGTGCCAGCAGTGGGATACACCTGATCCTGTGGTGAGAATATTTGGATATGCAGGTTCATTTTCCATGTGTGAATTCTGTGATTTCTTTGCTTCCCATGTATTTTGCTCGGAAAGGTTTATCATCTAAACCTTCACATGTGACATAGCTGCAATTCTGCAAACATATAACTACTTCTTGGACTATTTTGCTGATCTTGTCTAGTTGTGTTTCATGTCTGTCCATCTGTGTCTGCTTATTATGTCGTGTTATAGCTTCTTGATCTAATCGTCCCTTTGGGCATTGTGGGTGTCTCTGTTGAGCCCCAAGCTGATTTCCTCTTCCATTACATCCTATATACATGGCTCATTATTGGATTTCTGGATTGTTTTTAATGATAACTGAAACTCCAGGATCTATCACTACTTCCTTTCAGAAATTATAATATGAAAGGTTCTGCTTCAGTTGAGTTGTTTCTGACTTTCTATATCTTCTTTTGTCCCTCACCTTCCCAAAAAACAAAAAAGGAATAAGCAGAGAGATGTCTCACCCTTTATTTTATTTTATGCATAACCATTATTATTATTTTTTAATTTTTTTTTTAACTGATTATGTAAATGTTGTTAGTAAAACACTTCTCCTTTTTGGGAGAATTTATAGGTCAACTTGTGTAAAGGATGTTTCTTGCTTGTGGTAGAAATTGTACGCTTTAATACCATTACATTAATTTTACTCAGGTTTCCCATTCATATGCTTGCTGGTTTTTTTGTCTTGTTTAATGAATTTTTTAAGAACTTAACAGAAATCAATCATCAATGAGCCATAGTTTATGTGACCATGCTTATTATTTGCAGATAAATACTTGTAATGGATTCTACTGTGATGACTTTACTCCAAGTTCTTCCAAAAGTCCAAAGATTTGGACTGAGAACTGGCCTGGATGGTAACTTTGCTAACATGTTATTTGAGTTGCCTTTCAAGGTCTTCAGCTTTCCGAGTTTTTAGATTTTTAAGCATCTAGTTATAAATCAGTTCATGATTGAACAGACTATTTGACTTCTGCTCCAGGTTCAAAACATTTGGCGACGTGGATCCTCACAGGCCTGTCGAAGATGTTGCTTATGCTGTTGCTCGTTTTTTTCAGAAGGGTGGCAGTGTACACAACTATTACATGGTTAGTTTACTCGATCTCTGTGTCACTGATTTACTGTATATGGCCATTGTCGAATAACTCTAGTTAGGTACTATATTTCTAGCAATTGATTCTATGATTCTAGCAATTGATACAGAGATTGGCATAGAATTTTTTTAAAAAAGGTCAGAGATTCAAAGGAATGAGAAGGTACAAAAGAGAAAGGAAGAGGGATTTTTTTTAGGAAGAGAAAGGAAGTTGGAAAGGCATTTTTTTTCCCTCTTTTGTCTTCTTAACAATATTTTGTGTGTGTGTGTGTTGTAATTTCTGATTCAGTATCATGGCGGAACAAATTTTGGTCGAACTGCTGGTGGACCATTTATTACAACAAGTTATGATTATGATGCACCAATTGATGAATATGGTATTTTTCTCCGTTGCTTTTTTAATGTTCGCCCTGAACATCTTGCAGTTATAGTCAATTTTTATGAGATAAATCAAAATGGAAGATGCTCTTGCATCCTTTATATTATCTTTAGTGCTTCTGATGGCTAGGAAGAAAGTAGAAAGATGAGCTATACATGATTAACCTCTTTACTTTTTTTTTCTTCCAGGTTTACCAAGGCTTCCTAAGTGGGGACATCTCAAGGAACTTCATGGAGCATTAAAGTTGTGTGAGAATGCACTGATTACTGGAGAGAGGACTAATGTTTCTCTTGGTCCTCAACAAGAGGTGACTATTTTCCTTCTTTGGTACCTTAATTTTCTTGCTAGTGATATAATTTAGGAGTCTTGGAGTTGTCAGTCAATTTATAAAGGTTGGCATTATTTTGTCTCTCAAGACCTAATGTGACATTCACATATTGACTCTAATTCTTGACCTCTGTACAACTAAACTGAAGAGATAATGTAGTATGGCAAATCATTCTTTAATAGATAATTGAAATAAGTGCAATGAAACATTCGCAATGTTACACAAAGAGCTCTGTGAGATTGAGAAAATCTTCCTTCAAGCTGTTTTCAAGTTACATCTTTCTGTTATTATAATGTATGCCTGTTATAAAGATTACTAGATTAGACCAGTTGCTGCCCATAGGCATCTCAGAAAGCATTTGCAATTTTGCATAAGTATGATATCAATCTAGTTCTTAATTTATCACCACTATGCAGGCCAATGTATTTACAGACTCATCTGGAGTTTGTGCAGCCTTCCTTGCCAATATGGACAACAAAACTGATACAGTTGTGAAATTCAGAAACAAGACTTACCATCTGCCTGCATGGTCAGTTAGCATCTTGCCTGACTGCAAAAATGTAGTGTATAACACTGCCAAGGTCAGTTTCCGCATTTAAGGTTCTTTACCCCCCTGACCATTGTTTATCGTTGAGACTGTTGAACTCTCAGTGTTTCAGTATACTATTTTACTCTGTGTCCAGCAAAATCTTTATAAACCATGACAGAACAAAAATTAACTTGTCTTTACTGTTGGCTAATGTAGTAAACAGTAGTGTTCTTTGGAAATTAATTGGCGGTGCTTTTAAGCTACATAAAATGTCTTTTCCAATCTGATGTTATATGTTCTTGTAAATCCTTGTCCGTTATAACATGCTTCTGTCCTTGAATAGATTTCACAAATTGCCTTATGGATGTCCAATGTCTGAGTGTCTTCAAATTATTTCACATTTGTCTTTTCAAGTTATATTTCTCTTACTGTCTCTGCATCCACACACTTTCCTTATTATCTCCCTCTTCATTTTGCAAATTTTCTTTCTCTACCCATTATTTTTATTTCTTAATCTACATGCCAATCTCCCTGGAGTGAAACGATGGAGGGGGTATGTATTAAAATCAAACTGGTCAAAATTGGCCCCAAAGAACATGTTTAAATAGCCTCCGTTTTTTTTTTCTTTATTGTGGCAAATTGCTTCCTGGCTACTAGGACCTGTTATAAGTAATTGAGAAGGGAATCAAAACCTATCAGTGTTTCACAGTTGTGGGATCAAATTAAAGCAAAGAGGATTGCATGCCCTTTGCTGTGCAATATTGCTCTATGCAGCATTCAAATTTACTGCCTTTTTTCATCAGGTTGGATCCCAAGCTTCTGTGGTTGATATGGTGCCTGAGAATCTCAGGCCATCAGTGGTGCCACCTAGCAAAGACTTGAAATCTCTTCAATGGAAAGTGTTTGTTGAAAAACCTGGAATATGGGCAACACCTGAATTCAATATGACAGGTTTTGTCGATCATATAAATACAACAAAAGATTCTACTGACTACCTCTGGATCACAACAAGGTTGAACTCGGCATGTTCACTGCCATTTTCCTAATTTTTTATTTGCTTTCATCTTGGTTTTACATGTGTTTTACCCTTTTAAGAAATGGATTCTCTAGGAAGTTTGGATTCTGTAAACATTCAATAAGAAGACCAATGTCCTTGATAATTGGCATTACCCTTGCATTTAATCATAGGTGTAACTGGCGCTTCTTTTTTTATTTGCAGCCTGTATGTTGACAGTGATGAGAAGTTCTTGAAAGACAGAAGCAGTCCAGTACTATCTGTAAAATCAAAGGGCCATGCTCTTCATGTTTTTGTGAATCAAAAACTTCAAGGTGATACATGAATTATCCTTCCACATCTTGCTTCATTATATAAGAAATCAAAGCCTCTTCTGAATCTGTCACATCAGTAGCACATACATAATATGTTAGGTCACTAATGAGATTACGGAGTATAACACAACTGCATCTGAGTAATGTGCCCATTGTGGGCCAGAATTTAATGTTATTATCTGCAAAAGTGTTCTCTTTATCTTCCTTCTCTCCTCTTCGGCTCTTCAGTATCTTTTATACTAGAATCTAAGGAAGTTTTTCTTGCCAAATGCTTTTGTGCTTATTCACCAACACTTCTATATATTCAGGTAGTGGATTTGGGAATGGATCGGTCTTTTCCTTTGAATCTGAGATTCCCATATCTCTAAAGGCTGGAAAGAATGAAATTGCTCTTCTTAGCATGACTGTCGGCTTGCAAGTAAGCTTTCATCGCTTTGACACCTGAACAATATGTTTCTGCTTCTTTTTTTTTTTTTTTTTTTTTTTTTCATTTAGTATGTAATATTTACTTTATCGTTAGCTTGATAAGTCCTCTTTATTACCTAGAGAGTTATCAGTATGTTTGTACTTGTCGATTTCTACTCTTCTTTCTTGGGTTCCAAGTGTATTTTTCCTCCAGACTGCAGGGCCTCAGTACGAATGGATAGGAGCAGGCCTAACAAGTGTTGAAATTAAAGGTCTTAACAAAGGAGCTGTGAATCTAACTAAATTTAATTGGACCTACAAGGTTACTATTTTTGTTTTCCACCTCCATCATATCGTTTCTCACTAAAGTAGTTCCTAGTTTCTCACAGAACATATCTTCATTATTCTTTCAACTGTCTGAGTTGCCTGTACAATTGTTGAGAGTGCGTGCACTAGTATTGACATGATTAACTGCAAAAGGAAGCTTGCATTCTGACTCACATTGTTCCAATTTGTTGTGCTCTTAGATTGGATTACTGGGAGAGCAATTGAATCTGTATAAAGGTGATGATTTGAAAAGTACAAACTGGGTGTCGACCACTGAACCACCTAAGACAAAACCGCTTACATGGTACAAGGTAGAGTTGAGACTACGCCTTTGTGATCTGAGATTTAGAAAGTAGCTTTCAGTCTTTGAGGCAGTCTAATAATTTCTTACTTGCTTGACCTGTAAAGGCTTTGGTGGACCCACCCTCTGGGAATGAGCCTGTAGGACTGGATATGATACATATGGGGAAGGGCTTAGCTTGGTTGAATGGAGAAGAAATAGGAAGATATTGGCCTCGAAAAAGTCCCAAGCATCATGATTGTGTTGATCATTGTGACTACCGTGGAAAATTTTTACCCAACAAGTGCAGCACGGGATGTGGAGAACCGACCCAGAGATGGTACGAGTACATAGTTGCAACCTTTCCTTCTTTAATAATTTTTTAATCTTGCATATTTCTATATTGTTGCAACTGTTGCAAGTAGATGTGACATGTAAGCATGATTTGCTGATGTATTGTTTGCATCCAAAACTTCCATCCCCGCGCTTCCTCAACGTCTTTTCAAGTAGGTTCTGTCAGGCACAAAAGGAGAAATGCTTAAACTTGCTGAAGATATATTTTCCTTTTTTTTTTTTTTCTCAGTATTGTCCACTTTGTTAGCTTGTCAATCTAAATCACTTCCTCTGGTGCAGGTATCATGTTCCACGGTCCTGGTTTAAGCCATCAGGCAATGTATTGGTTATCTTTGAAGAAATCGGCGGAGATCCAACTCAGATTAGATTCTCCAAGAGGAAAGCCACTGGTGTTTGCAGTTCCGTTTCTGAAGATCATCCTTCTGTCTCTGTTGAATCCTGGACCACTGCTGTGAAAGACACCAATGATAAAAAGGCAACTGCGCAGCTAAGCTGCCCTAGTAATACTCGTATTTCTGCTATTAAGTTTTCCAGCTTTGGGAACCCTTCGGGAGCTTGTGGGTCGTACATCCAGGGAGACTGCCATGATCCCAATTCTGCATCTGTGCTGGAAAAGGTGAAAAACATTTCTCTTCCTATATTCTTTAGCTGTTTCTTAGAAGCATAAGAATATATAGCCTCCCTCATATGCTATATTATTATTTGTTTGCAGGTTTGTTTAAATAGAAGGGACTGCAGCATTGAGTTGAGCAAAGATAATTTCGATATAGGTCATTGTCCGGGAACAATTAGAAGGCTTGCTGTTGAAGCAGTTTGCAGCTGATAGGCAGTTATAGTAATAATTGTATTAGCTACTTCCTAGTTTTATTCAGTTAGGGAACACCCCCGTTATGAGTGTTGAGTCATATACATCATACCAAAAAAATACGGCTGGTTTTTCAGAGAATTGGGGAAAAAAAGAGGAAAAGAAACAGCGAGGCATTTATTACATTCAAGATTAACATTGTAATACCAACTATTGAAATGCATACCTTTCATTCAATAAATATATCACTCCATTGTGCACAAAATTAATTTTCGGCTAAAAATGATATATGTCTACATCATATTATAATTAAGACTTAAAGAGTACAATATTTCATGTCTATATTTTGGTGAAAGTGAAGTCTAAGCTATCAGTAAAAGAGGCTGGTTTCATGCTTGTTTCCCTCGTAGGGATAAATGGTGATGTGTGTGGAGTAAACAATAATCTAAACATTGTGTGCAGACATGATTTTTTCTATACAGTTTCCTACAGACTTGTGAAGAAACCAAGAGATACAGAGCTCTCGTCTGTAGTAATTGCGACACACATTTTGGTTCATTGCAAATGGAGGCCATCTTTAATCATAGGACAACAGAAGGCTTCAACTCCAGAAAACACGGGAAGCTTATTGGGAATCTTCAAAGTAAGGTGAGAAATCAATCGGCTTCCTCACGATTGAATTCAAGGAGTAATAGTAGCCTAGTAAACCCAACAAGTGAGCTGAAAGAGCAACTCCAGCCAAGGCAGTGCCTGTTGCTGCAACGCCTGATTCGCCTCTTCCTAGTGCTAAATGCTTTTCATTAAGCTCTTACTTCACCATGTGGTATTATCTTCAATGTAACAGAAACAAGTGGAATCAGTATAGTGACATTGTTGCAAAATTTTACATCCATGATGCCATTTCATGTACTGTTATCAGCTAAATATAAATGATGAACATAATAAAAGTGTAAAACACACATGCTTATGATAATTGGAATTTCACACTAAAGTATTAAGAACTGTCATTTTCATAAAGTTTTTTAAGTTTCACACGCTTATGCCTTTTCATTTTAAACTCTAATATATACAATGAATAATACCCTCCCCACAGTTGAATCTTGCAATGTTCACATAGCAAAGGTAAAGCACAAAGGCAAGTAAGGAGAGAAGATACTCACAAACCCTCATTGAGGGGGAAGAGGAGGAGGGTGTGGAAACCCTTGAGACTGCAACCAAACGCCAAAATTAGCTAAGGTCTTCGATATAAAAGTTAAATGATCCTTGATTTCCTTTTGCTCAACTTTGATTTCATCAACAGACTTTTGCAATTTTGTAAGTGCCTGTTCAATAAACATCGGGGAAACTCTAGCACCTTCAAGAGGAGATGATGAAGCGGGTGGCTCGGGGAGCAATGGTGCTTGAGCATGTGGTCGAATGCCATGAAATGACCAATTATCTTTAACACGCAAAGTCATCATCTCAGGAGGGTGTAATTCTCCCTCATCATCATTCCCCAAACACCAAAGAGTGGTGCCTTCTCTCTTGTGTAACCAACCCATAGAGGAACAAGCAGCAATATCAATGGAATCGGATCCCTCAATTAGGCCATCTTGCACAAGATTCTCTTTATGACCCAAGTATAAAGCAATCGGTGTTATAAGACCTCCCACGACAATGGCACCTTTAGTGGTTTGCTTGTTGGCGATTGATTTCATTTGTCGAATAAGGAATGCGCCTACATCAATAGGTTTAGCGTAGAGCTAAAGATGGGCATCGTGTCGTGCCGTGCCGGCGCGGGCCGTGCTTGGCCGTGCCGGGGTGGGGCTCGTGTCGTGCCGTGTCGTGCCAGCTTGGTGGCGGGTCGTGCCGTGCCAAGTTTTGGCACACCCTAGCCCACGGCGGGCCACCACAGTTTTTTTTTTTATTTTTTTTATTTTTAAAAATATATATATTATACAAAATCGATGTATATATTATAAAATTAACGTGCCGGCGGGTCGTGCCGGCATGCCGACGATCGTGCCCGTGGCGTGCCGTGCCAAATCGTAAGATTTGTGTTCACGGCCCACGACCCACAAGTGCCGCCGTGCCGGGCCGTGCCGTAATCGTGTTGGGCTCGTGCCGCCCGCGTGCCAGCACGGCCCATGCCCACCTTTACGTAGAGCATATGTTCGAGCATATATAACTCATCATTTCGAACCTTGTTGTTATCTTCACGGCCAAAGATGGTGTTCGCAAGCACCCTGAGGACATATCGAAGGGCGGGGTGGCGAACCAAGGCACTCGGACTCGCACTTGAGTCATATTTGTTCTTGCCGGTCAACATCCCCCATAATCCATCATCCTTCCAAAACTTTGAGGCTAATCTGGGACCGCCGGTAGGTAAATTGAGAACCTCATTAAGCTTAGCTAGAGTCCATGTATGCTCTACATTGTACAGGCGGAAAGTGATCACATCATGGTATCCGGGTTCGACAATTGCCTTTAAGGAGCTCAAAAACTCAAGTGCGATTCTCTTATAAGTGGGATATTTCTTAGTAAGAAAGTCACCCCAACCAACGTTTGAAAAGAACCAACGAACATTATCTTCTATATGCAAAGCCTTGAGTGCATCGAGGTCACAATAACGAGTTGCAACAACTCCACGTTTAAATAACTTCTCGTAGTTCTCCTTATACTGTGCATCATCATTAAAATCAATTTCATATTAATCAATGATCGGCTCTTTCTTCTTGGCTTTTTACAATGAGAGACAGAAAATTTGCTTTTAGAAAGAGGACCTTTCTTCATGGTGATCGATTTAGCCTTGGAAGTAGACTTTGTAGACACGTTCTTTTGTCGAACACTTGGTGTGCGCGCCATGATAAAATTCTGATTTGTCCCACAATCTACACCAACAATCACTCTATTATCCAATTATCTAGCCAAAAATCACAATCACTCAATGTTCTCTAATATAACAGGTATCCACACAAAATTTGAGCTAAATTCACAACCTAAATCGTCAATAATATAATTAGAACCAAAATATTGTCAAGCAAAACATACGATTTCAAGTAGCAAATAAACCTCGGCCGTAATCAATCCCAACGAACACAAATACTCAAGAAGACAACAAATTGGCCTGTATATTCAATTCGGAAATTAAAGTCGAATGCACAGTAAATTTCGAATTATAGGATAGAAATTAAAGAATAGAGGAAGATGGTGGGTTGCTTGCGGTGTTGAACGTCGGCGACGGTATGAAGGAGTTGCAAGATTTTACAGGTGATAGGAGAGAGATGAGCTTGTAAGTCTTGAATTCCCCCTTCTCTTTTATCGTTTTGTTTTTATTTTCAGAAGAAGAGGGAAAATATAATTGGGTGTACTCCGCGGCCACACTGTGGTATTTTGGTCTTCCCCGCGACTAGGTCGTGGACTAAACTGTTGTTGTTGCAACTTAATGTGTTGAACAAGATATACCGCGACCACGCTGCGGCAAAAGATGAGTAGGCTGCGACCTGGTCGCAGACTAATTTGTCTCACCTCTTTTTTTCTCTAATAATATACTACCTCCGTTAACAGTTATTTGCAACAAAGGGGGTAGCACAGACTCCTAGACAAAAGTTTTTAAACATGATTATTGAAATATAAGGGTAGTACTTAAGTATTAATCTAATTAAAAAAAGAACAAAAAAAAAGCCAAAACCACTAAACAACCAAACTAGAACCCAGATTCACCACTACCACCCAAAACTACCACCACCGAAAACCACTACCCCCGAACCCACCACCGCAGAAAACAGCCACCCCGAACCCATCACCACCGAAAACCACCACCCCCGAAAACCACCAACACCCACGAATCGATCGAAAACCACCACCACCAAAACCCACAAACTGCCCAGATCACCAACACCCATGAACCGCCCAGAACACCAACACTCACCCACGAACCACCAACAATCACCCACGAACCAGAAAAACCACCCACAAACTACAAAACCACCAGATCTACTGAAGCCACCCACAAACCACCAATAACCACCCACGAATCAAATGAGAAATGAAGAAGTAGATGAAAAATGAGAAATGAAGAAGGAGATGTGAAATGAGAGATGAGAAATGAAGAAGGAGATGATAGATGAAGAAGGAAAAAGATGATGAAGTGAGGGATGAAGATGGAGGAGAGAGATGGTGGAATGGTGGGGAGATAAGATGAATCTGATTTTTTTGGGGGAAAAACTTAAGATGATTAAGTTAGATTAGGGTTAAAATAATTTGTAATTATGTATAGTATTATGTGTTAATAATTTTTAAATAAGAGTATTTTGGTCATTTTATTAAAAAAAGTTACTACGTACTATATTAGGAAATAAATAGTTTTGTTGCAAATAATATGAAGCAGCAGTGTCAATCAGGTTTTCGGTTCAGCTTTGGATTCGGTTTATCGGTTTTCGGTTGGTAACGAGTCGGTTTTTAACGGGTCGGTTCGGGTTGGTTTAAAATAATTTCGGGTCGGCTCGGTTTGGTTTATTTTAATTACATTTTCTTTTCGGATCGGGTTATAATTGGTTCGGGTCATAATAGGTTCAGGTTAAATTCGGTCGGTTTAAAAATGGGGTTTGTCAGTTTAAAGCGGGTTTTGGGTCAGCACATATCGGGTCCTAATCGGGTCGGGTTGTAATCGGTTCGGGTTGTAACCGGTTCATGTTGAATTTAGTCTGTTTGACAACTAGTTTTGCCAGTTTTAACGGGTTTCGTTAACGTATATAGTCTAGTATATCCTCAATATTCTTTAATTAGTTATTCTAGTAGATTATACGGAGTATTAATTAGTTGTTTAACTTATGTCCCTTTTTTGTATAATTATTTTAAGGATCAAACAATAATAACAAATCTAGAGTTAGCTTTTGATTTTGATTTTTAATTCTTTTAATACAATATAGTGTTTCATAAGCCATTACTCGTTAGAGGACGATAATATTGTAGCATAAAATTCCAAACCATTTCAATATAAATACTTTATAATTCAAATTAAACCCTTTTGTTTTACTATTGATAAAATATACCCAAAAAAAAAGGGAAAAAAAATTATACAGTCATAACGGTTTACGGATTTACGGATTATAAACGGTTCGGTTATAACCGATTACGAGTTGTAAACGATTCGATCATAACTTATTACGGGTTACAAGCTGCAATAAACGATTTGGGTTTATCGGTCGGGTTTAAACGGTTTCGGTTTATAATGGGTCGGGTTGCTTCGGGTTCAAAAATAC